CAAGTGGCGGGAGTTGGGAGGGAAGTCAAGCCCGGTCTGGGAGGGCCTCACAAGCCAGGAGAAACTGACCAGATGGCTGTGCTCGAGAACAGGGAGGACCTTCTCCCAGGCTCAAGGTCAGCCGTCCCCACCCCATCCTAACGCAGAGCCTGCTCAGGTTCATCTCGGCAGCACTGGTCTGTGCTGTGCTCAGAAAATGCCTGTGCAATTGGCCCATCGAAGAGGACAGGCCAGGTGTGGTGGCTCCTGCCTGTAACCCCAGCACTTTGGGAGGTCAAGGTGGGAGGATATCTTGAGCCCAGGAGGTCGAGGCTGCTGTGAGCTACGATCAGGCCACTGCACCCCAGTCTGGGCAACAGAGCCAGATCCTGTCAAAATAAAAAATGAGACAGCAGGTGGCAGCAGGAAAGCACAGTCCTAGATGTTCCAAGGAAAAGGCCACCGAAGAGGAATGGAGCTCTAGTCCCAGACTAACCGCCTAACCCTTCTCTACCCCAATATTGGTCCCTTCTAGAAAGGCTTCCAGGCTTCCAAGGGAGAGCGGGGAATGGAGGATGCTTCGGCCAAGCAGGTCTGCACTCAGGGTTGGGCAATGCCCTAGCCATGACGTGGCCAGCTGAGAAATCCATGGGCAGCAGCAGGTCAGGCTAGATGCCTATGGCAAGCTGGGCAACACTGTGCCACTGTCCTTGGTGGGGAGGGGGCCGCTGGACAGATGAGGGGGCTGGCGGGATCCCCAGCACACACAGCTGGAGGGACTCCAGCCACTGCGTGGCAACCTCTCAGCCTGGGCACACTAGTCTCCGGTGCCTGGGAAGGGTTTTCACCCAGCTAGCCCTCCCATTAACCTACCTGAGCCCTGCCGTCAGCCCCATTTTACAGATAAGGAAACCGAGGAACAGAGAAAATGAGACTGGACCTCCCCCAGGAGGTCCAGTCTCCCACCCAAGGCAGGACAAGGCAGAGGAGAGCCTCGTGACACCGACAGTGACGAGCACTTCCACTTAGGTAGTGCCTCCGCTGTGCCAGGCGCAGAGTGTGCATCAGCTCGTTTAATCTTTACAACCACCTGATGCAGGGGGTACCTTTACCAACCCATTTCACAGATGCAAGAAACAGGCTCCACCCCTTGTTCATCTCACACGCTGTTGGGAGGAGGCAGAGCAGAGCTGGAACTTGGGCCACCGGACCAGAGCACAGTCCAGTTCTGCCTGCAGGCAGGGGGCTGGACCGGATAACTTCTGGAAGACCCCTGCTTCTCTGGCTGGTGTTCGGATGTGGTCTCATTCTCTAGTTCCAACTAACTTCCAGCTCTTGGCTACATGTGTCTGTCTGTCTGTCTGTCTGTCTGTCTGTCTATCTATCTATCTATCTATCTATCTATCTATCTGTCTGTCTGTCTGTCTGTCTGTCTGTCTGTCTGTCTGTCTATCTATCTATCTATCTATCTATCTATCTATCTATCTATCTATCTGAGACAGGGTCTTGCTCTATCACCCAGAGTGGAGTACAGTGGCACAATCTCAGCTCACTGCAGCCTCCACCTCCTGGGCTCAAGCAATCCTCCTGCCTCAGCCTCCTGAGCAGCTGGGACTACAGGCATGCACCACCATGCTAGATAATATTTGTATTTTTTTGTAGAGTTGGGGTTGTGCCATGTAGCCTAGGTTGGTCTCAAACTCTTGAGCTCAAGCGATCTGCCCACTTCAGCCTTCCAAAGTGCTGGGACTGCAGGTGTGACACATGGTGCCTGGCCACATGTGTCTTTTAAAAAGTAGTAAATGCCTCCCCTGCACTCCATGAAAGGCTAGAATGGGCTGCTTTGATGCAGGCATCCACTGTGACCCACTCTGCATGCTCCCTCAAAGACCGGGAACTTTCTCCAGTGGGGTTAAGCACTGTCCTCTCCCTGGGCAGTGGGAGAGGTGGGAGAGGGGATGCTGCGCCACCTCAGTATGAACAAGTCCACATCCTCTTCCTCCAGGACAGCAGGAAGGAGGCAAGGAGCGGTGCTGAGGGACAGGCCATCCGGCCACCTCTGTGACCCTTGCAATGAGAGGGAGTGGACAAACCGCCTACCTCCCGGCTAAGGCACGACCCAACCACATGTCCAGGAAAGCACGTGAGACAGCCCACCCTGGCCCAGCCACAGAGAAGGCCTCTTCCTACCACTTCCCTCCCGCAGTGGGCCCAGCGAAGGCCAGGCACAGGGCGGGGTAGAGGAGGCCCTCACAGGAGCCCAATTCCTCATCCTCCCAGTAAGGACTACCCCCATGAATCCCTCAGCACCAACCAGAACCCTTTTCTCAGCTTTGCCCCATCTGATCTCGCCAAAAACACAGTGTCCTGGGCCTGACTCCAGGCTCAAACGTGGCAGCAGACCACACTGTGGTGGGCACAACTGGATGCCTGGGGACTGATCTGCTGGGTGATTCAGGACAGACAGCCCCTCTGGGTTGTCTATCCTCTGTAAACTGGAGGTGATTGTCGCCTACCACATGGAGCGGTGGAGGAGGTAGGGAATGGGTCAAATCAGTAGCTATACACTGTAGAGTGGGGTGCATGTCCCCAGTGCAACCACCGAGTCAGACTTTTGTCTCTTTTTAAAAATTTATTTATTTATTTTGAGACAGGGTCTCATTCTGTCATCCAGGCAGTGGCACAGTCATGGCTCACGACAGCCTCCAACGTCTGGCCTCAAAGGATCCTCCTGCCTTAGCCTCCCAAGTAGCTGGGACTATAGGCACATGCCACTACACCTGGCTAATTTTTGTATTTTTTGTAGAGACGGGGTTTCGCCATGTTGCCCAGGCTGGTCTCGAACCCCTGGGCTCAAGTGATCTGCCCGCGTTGGCCTCCCAAAGTGCTGGAATGTCTTCTCTTTTTCAGACTCTCCTGTGGCCTGTCCCGAGGCCGCACTCCAGACCACCTTCTACTGCCTGAGCTCTCCCTGCACCAACCTCCATGGCCTCAAGCAAACTTCCCTCAAGCAGACCTCGTCCTGGCAAAGAGTTTCTGCAATACCAGCTTCACCCTCATCGCTAGGAAAACAGCTGCTGGTAAACAGCTGCTTCTTTCATGAAAACAGCACTAGAGGGCTGGGCGTGGGGCTCATGCTTGTAATCCCAGCACTTTGGAAGGCTGAGGCGGTAAGATTGCCTGAGCTCATGAATTCAAGGTTTCAGTGAGCTATGACCACTCCACTGCACTCCAGCCTGGGTAGTGAGACCCTGTCTTTAAAAAAAAAAAAAAAGAAAGAAAGAAAAAAAAGAGACTGAGGGTGGTGGACTGGGGGTGGTGGCTCACACCTATAATCCTAGCACTTTGGGAGGTCGAGGTGGGTGGATCATTTGAAGTCAGGAGTTCGAGACCAGCCTGGCCAACATGGTGAAACCCTGTCTTTACTAAAAATACAAAAATTAGCCAGGTGTGGTGGCGGGTGCCTGTAGTCCCAGCTACTCAGGAGGCTGAGGCAGGAGAATGGCGTGAACCCGGGAGGCGAAGCTGGCAGTGAGCCGAGAGGGCACCACTGCACTCCAGCCTGGGCAACAGACAGAGACTCCATCTCAAAAAAATAAAATAAAAATAAAAATAAAAATAAAAATAAGAAAGAAAGAAAATACCACTGGAGAGCTACCTCCACAAAGTTCACACCTTCCCTTCTGAAGGCCACAGAATCTGGAACAATCTGAGAGCCTCCCCTCCCCCATACCCTACACCAGGAGCTGCAGGTAAACCTCGGGAACCCAGGGCCTCTGGAGGTGGGAAGACAGACAGCTGGGTGGGAAGTGAAGGCTGTGCACAAATGCCTTCCTGAGCTGCAGCCCCCCTCAGCCTCCTGCACTTCCTGCAGGGCCGGCACTTGGCACTTCCTCTAAAATTGGCTGGCTTGTCACTTTTGTGTCTTCTTTGGCCTCGTCCAAGACAATAATACAGTCAAGACGTCACAATGTCAATGTCCTAGTTACAGATTTTTTTTCCCTAAGACAAATGCTTAGATTTTAAATGTGTCCTTCCACCTACAGGCTAGAACCCCCTGCGATTCCCTGGGCAGCCCGGTCCTCACTCCGAGAAACACTGGTGTTGAGTCCACCCCTCACAGCCTCCACCTGCACGTGGGTGACGCTAGTGAAGGCCCACGGTCACACAGCTCTTCCAGACACATCCAGCCCACACTGGCTGCCTGTCCAGGCCTTGGAGCCAGGGCCCCTGTCGCAGGCGGCCCAGCCTGGCCCCCACCTCCAGGCCCTCAGCTTCCCCCTCCTGGCCCTCCCTTCTCCCCTTCAGCAATGGCTGGCCAGGAAGGAAGCCCCCAGCCCCAGACGTCCCTGCCCTTGATCCTGCTGTGATGACACAAAGAAGAGGCAACTGCCTCACCCTCTGTGCACACATGTTTAGATGAATGCATAGAAAGCTCCAGAAAGACCCACTCCAGATGGCCCATGAGGTCCCTGGGGGATGGAGGACATGCGCTGCAGGGAAAGGGAAAGCAGTCTGCTTCTCGGAGGCATCTTGGTTCACCGACCCTCAGGCATGCACCCCTTTCAGAGGTTTTGTTTGTTCGTTGTTTTATAATTTCATAAAATTAGTTGAATTGTCCTTCCCTTGCCAATGTTTCCTTTCATTGAGAAAAGTCATGTGTGCTTGTAAATGTAAAATTACACCCTCGAGAAGGAGTGTGGACATTTGAGAGTCTATGGTTCCTAGAATTCCAGATGGAACGGGCCAGATGCACAACATCGAGATCACAACCGCACTTTCTTGTCAGGCTGGGAAAAGCCAGTGACGAGTCACCTCTGGTCCCCTGTTGAGGGGTCGCCTCTCCCAGCCGTCTGCCCAGTAGGCTCCCGGAGCTTCCTCCTTCTCCAGCCCAGACCCTGCCCAGTCCACTCCCAGGCCAGGCTGCCGGGTGAGCTGCTTCCCACCCACCGTCCAGCCCCGTCTCCGGGGGCTCAAGCCGCTAGGACTGGTGACACTCCATCCCCACACCCCGCTTTTACCTGGCTCTCCTCCTGGGCCCCAGCAGCTGGCCAGGGTCTGCAGGGAGGTGGCCCGGCCCTCGCCTGCCCTTCCTCAGACGCGTCCAGGCTCACCCATCCGAAGGCTCCTTCCACGCTACCTAATGAGAGTGAGTCACATCTGGGACCCACCACTTCCTGCTCTGGCGGCGGCGGCAGCAAGGCTAAGGCACAGCCCGCAGCCCAGCTTCTCAGGGTATGCAGGGCCCCCTCCCCCAGCCACAGTGTTGCTCTCTGCAGCCTGGGAGCTGCCAGGACTGGGAGCTATCGGGCTCCAATGACTTCACGGAAATTTGAAGCTTGAAGCTGGAACAATTTTGAAAAAAAAAAAAATATAATAATAAAACAAGCACCAAAAACCTCCATTAGAAGCCCCAAGACAACTGTTCGAAGTGGGGAGCAAATGCATCCTTAATGAACAATTAGCAATTAGCCGCCTGACCTGAGCCTCCTGCGGGCTCTGACGCTCACAGACAGGCCCCCGCGCCTTCCCAGGACTCAATTTCCCTGTCTATGTAGTAAGGTGGCCTCGTCCACCTCTGAGAGGGGCCCAGGAGATGGCCTGAGAGGTCAAAGATCTTCTAGTCCAGCCCACTGCCTCTCCATCTCACCTGCGCTCCCA